GACGAGGCCGTAGGAGCGGCCATGGCGCGACATCGATGACGAGCCTAACATGTACAAGGTCATGGCTTGGGGCGTGACTGTTAGCAGCAAGCCATGCCTATGGTGTGTGCTGCGTCCGAGTCTTGTGGCCGTTGGACGCCAACAGCGTTGAGCACATCGTGTGTGCGTGTGTGTGGCGCATGGGCCTGTCCATGTGGCTGAACGGGTGTGTGTGGAGGTAGCCGTTGGCGCGCGGGGAGGGAGTGCATTGAGCTAGTCCATCCCGGGCTCGCCGCGCCCGGACGTGTGCGTGCATGTCGGGGTGGGCGCGGTAGGAGCGGGCTGGACGGGTGCTCAACGTGGGCAGGGACGTGGGTGCGTGCCCAGTGCGTCCCTGGGATATAAGACTCCCCGTGTAATGGTGTTGCCAAGTGTGGAGTGGTGCTCAAGTTCGAGCTTGAAGGAAACGGCCGTCGTTGCGGCCGCGGCGTTCGTGCGCCGGCAAAGTCCACTGTCCACCTATGTCTTTTTCTTCCTTCTTTTACCTCGGTTCGCATCACAGAGCGAGAGAGAGCGAGAGGTGGGCGAGAGCTAGGGCTGGACGACAACAACACTTTCCACCGTCACTCTGAATATTTGGATGTACTGAATAATACGTGTTTCAATTCCAAACTTTTTGTCTCAGTGGTAACAGCTAATCAAACTTTTGCTAGCTTTAAGAATAATTATATTATTATTCATAGCTGACATAATTTGCATTGTTCACTCTAACAAAAAAGTTAGGTAGATATTTTATCAGATGTATTCTGCTCTTTAAGACGAGGCTGGGTATATGGGGATAACGTTTTCCATTGCAACACACCGTAAGGTCTTTCGAAAGCAGCGTGCTAGAGTCTGATGACCAAGCTCATTGCCTTGAGATTGTCATGTTTGTTGTCATGTTTGTCGTGAGGTGGACAATGTGACCATGGTGGCGAAGAGAGTGGTAACATGGATAGGTCACTTGGAGCGTGCGAGGATTTTCTCTTCTCCCGTTGCAACGCATGGGCATATGTGCTAGTATGACTAAACAACACAAGTCATGGTCATAAGAAAATGATATATCTTCTGTAATGATTCGTGCGAGGGTTTGTTTGTTCCTTTGGATATAAGTTTTTCTTTTCATAATACAGTATTCAAATACCACCGTATTTAGATATACCAAGAAGCGTTTAACACTTCTAGTACCGAAATAGCACAATAGCCTGCACCCACACAATTTCATGGGCAATATCTTCAATCGATTTAAAAGTTTTATTTTGTGAAGACTCTTTTTGAGTATATATTTTGAAGACTCTTATAACCACGTAAAAAACATGCATATTGTAAACTACAGAAAAGACAATAACCGCGTCAGGTATAACAAAAGACAACACTTTCGAATTTTAACCAGCATGGGCATGATCCCCGGCATAGGCATGGTCCCAAGCACCGTCGATCTCACGCACTGTCGAGCCATCTGTCACTTGTGGCATCGTACACTGCATAGTCAAGGTCCGCTGAAGTGCTAGCTGCCGTGTGTCCTTAACTAGGAATGGAACATTATTGCTCCATTTGACCGCAACCGCTATTGGCACCGCATCTCACCCATAATGCGCATTGTGTTGGGTCTGCCAATGGCTGGCTCGCCCTTGACTGCACTGCCAAGAAGAGACACACTTATCTCCAGCTCGACCCTTTCTCCATAACCACCGTGTGGCTGCTTGAGCTTGACTCCGTCATTGGCAATGTCCCAGAGTGGTTTCAAATCCGAAGGTGCTCATATGATCGACTTCGAATGACCTTGTCGTCTTCATTACGAATGACGCAAACTGCCCCATCATAATCATCCACCCATGGAAGGGTGTCTGGTGGCCCGAGCTATATTTTTCTACCTTCACCTCGCATTGTTGATATTACATTCCTTGGAGACATAATTTATGGAATCAATCGGTATGAGAACCTGTTCTCCTTACAAGTCGATTACAATGGCAGTCACCAATATCAAGCGCATCACTCAAAATCCAATGGACGATGATAATTCTAGTGTGCGCAGTGATGACGATTCCGAAGTGTCGATCAAGTGGACGATGATAATTCTAGTGTGTGCAGCTATGATGATTCCGACGTGTGGAGTGACGACGAAGAGGAGGTGGACGGCAATGATGAAAATGGGAGTGAGGATAAGGAGAATGGCAAGGCACTTAAACAAGAGGGCGATGCTGATTCTAGTGTATGGTGTGACGATGACGATGAGGAAGCGGCAAATGATGAAAATGTAGGTGAGGACGAGGAAAATGACGAGGCGCTTAAACAAGAGGACAAAGAGGCGATGGTAATTCCAATGTGTATAGTTACAAGAAAGACGAGGAGGCAAAAAAGATGAAAATCATGTGGTTGAGGAAAACAACCATGATGAGGCGCTTAAAAAAGAGGGTGAAGAGGCTGATGGTTGTTATACACTTCCAGAAGAGAGTTGCATGATTAATAATGGCATCGAGTATATATCAGGGGGAAGAAGACGATCATCATCTCACCGCCATCAGGTACTTTGTTGAATCGCATGGGAGGTTACTCATGGTGGGGTGGCAAATAGTGCAATATCCTTCAAGCCGTCTCGGCATCACCCGCGAAAACATGTTTTAGAGCCTATGCACCCGGGTACTCCTTATCCAACCACTCATTTCTGCATCAAGATTCGTGCAAATAATTTTCTCTTTTTTGTTTCTCTCATATAGAACATGTATTTGTACTTTCAACTTTGCAGCACAACAAAGCTTTCTATGTAGAATGTGGGATAAAACTTACAGATTTTTTGGTCCAACATAAATATACAAAATGAGATTTTTTTGATTAAAAAATCTTATTTTTCATATTTATGTCGGACAAAAAAATCTGAAAGTTTTATCTCACATTCTAGTTACAAAGTTATGTTGTACTGCAAAGTTTGAAGTTCAAGACATGTTTTATATGAGAGGAACAAAAAAGAGAAAATTCCATGTAATAAGGTAGTTGTGTAGCACAGATCTCAAAGCAACATTGGAGTATTAGGATAGTGAGGCCCGGGTGCATAAGCTCACAGAATCTGCATTCGCATCACCCGCAAGGTGGACGTATTCAAGGCAGATGTCCGCACAAGCATGTGGGTGCCTATGACGGGTGGTCTAGATGGCGATGGGATTTTCATTAGAAAGCCCTTTTGAAAGTCTGTTTCGGCTGGTTGGGAGTAGATAAACAGGGTGATAGTTTTCGTCGACTCGGGCAAGATGTTCAACTTGAGATCCCAAAGTATGAATGAGTCAAACCAGCAAACATTCGATATATATGTGTGTTAACATGGATCTTTCCCCCCGAGCTAGTGGTCTGAACCACATGTTTTTCTTTGTTTTTTTCTGGTTTAGTTTTGTAAACATTCATTCCAACCTGAAACCAATGTAAGCCAATCTGATGAATGCTTTGATTTCCAATACTAGACTGCTTCAGGCATGAGCTACTCCGGTCTCATTATCATGCTGCATCACATGCAGAATGTACAATACGAAGGTACAGCTTGATGTCTGTGATTCTCATCTTGTTGATACAACATGAAGGTGCCTTCCCAAATGTGATCGCTTCTTATGGACACAGAACACAGGGACAAAACAGCAGAGTTGAACTGACGTTGTTGAGGAATGGCAGCACGGAAAGCACATTAAGTACACCCACCGAATGTTCAACAAAACGCACTAAGTCTACCTGACAATTTGCCCTTTAAGGTTTCTGTATACCTAGGCCGCAAGTGCCTGTCTTGCTGAAGCCTCCGTACCCAACAGTTGACACCACCTTCAACTGTTTCCCCTCCTGGTCGGTCGCCAACTCAATGAGTTCATCTATTTTAGCATCAATACCCACAAGATCAACAGCCTCGGCATAAAGTGGAGGCATTCGATCGAGGGTCAATGGTTATCGTTGATTCCCCAGATATGGCTGCATCATCCCACTGCAACCTCTTCTGTCGCTTGCTTGTCTCGGCAATTCCAATTCTTTTCACCTTACCGATGATGTCATGGATAAAGCCCATGATTCCAGAGAGCCCGCGGACAATTCCAAAAAAATTCACCTTACGATTATGTTGTGGATAGAGCCCATGATTCCACCTACTTTATCCGGCTCGTGGTCGAGCTTGTGCATGTAGTTATCGACGCAGTCCTGATTTCATAGGCCATCTCTCTCACCTGGTCCCTCCATTCCTTGGTCTGATCGTTAGATCCTCCCTGTCAGCCAACTTCTTGAGAAAAGCATTGATGCTGCTCAGCTCGAGTTTCAGTGAGCCGATTTTGATCTTCACGGCTTTCTGCGGCTTGTACTCCTCACTCATCAGTTCCGTGAGCTTCGTGAGGAGGGATTCATCACCCCAGTGACAGTGCTCACCATAATTCCTTCCATCAGATCTGGGTGCTGGAGCCTCAGAATCTCAGTGTAGATGTTGCCTTCGTGAGCATGTTAAGATCAATGGAGCCAAGTAAAAGCTGCTGCTACAAAGAGCAGAGTGTGTTCAGATCTCTGATTTAGGACTGTAAATAGAACAACCAGATGTACCCAATTCAAATTTCATGGCATTTTGCCTCCTACATAATTTGAGACGATTTAGCTCTGTCGTGTGTGACCACGAGGGTGCTTTCTTTGGCAAGCAGGCAGAGATGTTTTTTCACCTGATCACATTATTTCTTTCCTATAACCACATATTTGTCCCACAGCATTGCATTGGTAAACATGGAAATACTGATTGCAAGACCACAAGCGGATAGCGTTTTATATGGAAAACTTCCTCGAGTGTTTCATAAGAAAAACACATGCTGGTGGCACATTAAATACTCCCACAAAATGTCCTCGACAACACACACTACCACCACCTGATGATTTGTATTAGATGCACACATATAACCACCAGCTAGTTGTAGGTGGTACATTCGCATGAACTCAGCAGCAAATTACATCGTCAAAGTGATGGGGCGGCATGCTTATCAAAATGAAACAATGACCTTGGCCCTGGCAGACACTCTCGGCAGAGCTAATAGCTTGGCAAGAACCATGATGCAGTCTGTTTCGCCCTTCCATTCTATCTTCACTTCTTCCAGAGCAGGTGCCCAACTCAGTAACTTTGCCACGAAATCGACTTCGTTGTCAAGACCCCGGAAGCATCCAACACTGGCCGTCACGAGATGGTCCATTTGCATTTGCAGCGTATGCTCTAGAATCCTCGCCTGACACTGATCCCATGTGCTTGAAGGGTAACTCTGCAAAAAAAAATCACAACTCATTAGGCGTTGCAAATACAACAAACATGGAGTGCGTGATTGAGGGAGGGAGAGGATTTACTAGCATACGTACCCACACCGAAAGCTTCTTCAAGTTAGGGGCATTCTGAAATAATGAATAAGCAGCAAAGACTTGCCTCCGGTCCCAAAAGCATATATTAAGATAAATATTCTCAAGGCGTGTAAACACAGTAGGGAGCTTTGTAAGTATACGCCCTTTTGATAGATACTGAACAAGGGGGAAATGGCAACACAGATTAGTCAGCAGGCAGAAGAAGACATAGCAATGCTGGAGGAAATAATAGCTCACCTTCATGAAACTACCAGTGATTCCAAGTATTTTGATCTCACTTAGGCTTCCCAATGACTTCTTGATATGGTTTTCCTTGTCATGTGCAATTGGAACAGATTGATATGCTTTAGCTTGGTGATCTAGATAAAGGATGGCCACCTTCAGATTAGGGGCCTCCAAATTAATGTCTTCAAAGTCCCCATAAACACTAAGATATTCTAGCTTAGGAGCGTGAATGTTTAGTTGGTTGATGCCCTCAAAAGTAGTTAATATCAAATCAGTAAGTACGGGGCAGAATGAGATCAGATTTTGGATATCCCTGTCTGTGGATGAGAAATTGTTTAGGCTCAGGTAAGTTAGGCTCTTGAAGCCTTGGAATGCCCGGGGCAAGCTGATGATGCAGTTTTCCAGTTGCAGAAACTTCAAATCACCGATGGAAAAGACGCGTGAGGAAATCTTATACCTTGGCCCTGAGTTCAACTTGATTGTAACTGACCTTGGTGATCTCCTTGACAGCATGAGCATCCACCTAGCGAACTCATCGTGGTAACTTTTTTCACCTGATATATCAAACTCTTCTATGGTTCCCTTGTGGAGTGCTAGCACCATATCGACCAACTTAACAAACCTGGTTCGCGTAAAATTTCTATCACGCAAAGATATTTTTGGCATATTTGTCCATGCATCCCTCCATGTACTCGATAAGGTGCTAGTCCTAACAGCTTCTCTGACATTCAAACGGGAGAGGATGTTGCCTTTTATCTTTGGGGGTAGACTGCTTAGTCTGTCTGAACTCAGAACAGATGTAGCTTCTGCCTTGGTCTTTTTGCAGCCCATTGCTTCAGAATCCAGATTAAACTGTTGTAACATTTCCAAAAGACGGGGAGCCTAAATTAGCATGGATTCTACCACATATCACTACATGTAGAAATTAAATTGTGCACTGCATAGTTGCTTGTTCATGGCAAAACAAAGAATAAGCAACAGCTGAAAGATGAGAGTTTTAGGAAACAAGTAAGCCGGCATGTTTCTATTACCAGAACTGAACTCGACTACTGGTGTTGATAGGCTGAAAAGTTTGATTACTCCAACATTAAAGATAAGCATGATGAGGATGCAATAACTTATAGTCATGGTTACTGAGTTACGACTGTCCTAATTTGATCAACGATTATGTCTGGCATACTATGCACTATACTAAGGTCCAACTGACAATTAAAGTATTTTCTTACCAAATCAACATGCTAGCTAGGAAAAGATTTATTCTACAAAATTGTCACTTTAGATGTTAGAGATAGAAAAAACAATTTAAGCAACAAATCTAAACAAGCATGTGAACGAGCAGTACAACTAATTGTACAATAGATGTAGCACATGTTTGGGCATAGATTCATGCAACTGATAAAAAAATTGTTCGACTCTGAAATAGGAAACCAAATCAACTTACTCCTATGTTGCTTGTTGGTGTTCGATGTGGGTCGACGACGCTGGCGCTCAGTTGCTGCAGGCGCGATGGATAACGGGAGGAGACGGCGACGCTCGCCTGGTGCGGCCTTGGAGGCCGCCAAGCACGGTCTGCCGCCAAGACAGGGCGCTGAGGACAGAGGGGCGAGGACGTTGCCGCGGCGCCGGGACGGATGCCTACGCAGGCGCGCCGCCGGGCATTTCTGCCATGCCGTGGTTAGGGTTCGGATTTCCCCTTTTTTTTCCTTTTGTAGGATAGGGTTCCAATTTCGTGTGACTTGAGAATTGGGCTTGAGGGGAGACTGGGCTACTGGGCCATGTATCCTATTGCAAGAAAAGCGCTCTCAGAGCTCAGGCACTGGTGGCCGTCGGATCGATTCCTTGATGCGATTCCATCGATTCGATCTTGCTCCCGGACGATCTGCGCCGTCGGATCGAAGCCTCGCCCCTGTATTCTTGCTCACTCTATTCTTGCTCACTCAGCTGGTTTCGATCACTCGCTGACATGTGGGGTAACTCGCTTGTGGGCCGTCTTTGTCAGTGACCGTGTCTGGCAATGTGTTCTATGAGGCCTGTCGGCGTGGTCCAGCGGGCAAATATCTGTTGCCACCGCCGATAATTAGCATGACCCGCCGGGCCATTTTCGGTTTTTCCTGTTTTGCCCTGTGCGTGGTGGATGCCGGTTGGCCCGTGTGTCGATGAGGTGTGGGAGGATGGCTGGCTTGCCCCTTCGTCCTCCCATTCGCCCCCTTCTCTCTGGTTCCTCTCCTCGATTTGAAGCCGCGTTCTTCAGGTCTGGATCAAGCCTCTCCTATCCTCAGTGTCTCATATGTTTCTAACAACATCATATATCTTGTGCAGGAATGTAATGATCTCCAAGTCGCATTGCCGCTTCCTGCTTGTCGTTGTCATCGTCCCTTTGTTATGTCTCCAGCCAATCGCCTTCCTCCAACTGCGCCTTTCATGTTTGGCCTATTACCTTGCTGCTTTTCTTACCTATAACTAAAATAACTTGTATCTTCCGACTTCCTTGACGTTTTAGTACCCTTTGGGCTACTTCCCTATCTCTCTTAGAATATACCAATTACTCAACTAGAACATTCAAATGCATTGGAAATATTCACGTGAATAATCTAAAAAAGTGCTCCATGAAATTGCCTTTCCTTCTGATCCGTAGAACAATTCCTGAACCTTGTAATGGATGCCAAAGAAGTAGTTACCACATATGTGTTGAGTTAATTGTCAAGCTAGCATACTTTTGTAGGGAATACTGCTAAACATATCTCTGTATCCCATCAAGTACAAGTTTTCTCTTGATGGACTACTAAAAAAGGTCATGGATGTGGCACTTTAACTGTAAGAATTTATTTACTATAAAGTAAACTGCAGAGCAGGGGGTCTTGGAAGGTAGTGGTTATGTTGTACTATCTAGCACCATGTTGCTTTCCAAGTATTATCTTAGCATTCGATATGTGCTCCGAATATAAATTGCCCAGTATGAAGCAAAAAGACTGATGTAGATTGTAAAATCTTCTAATCTACTGATCAGATGTAGTTATAATATTTCATGCTGTTCTCGGATGGAATGCATTGGACTATCCGCTCTACGGTGTGGATTGGGTGCCCGGACTGTGTGCGTGCATGTATTGTGGTCTCAGATACTTTTGTGACTCCACAAGACTTGTTGTTGCCCAATGAATTATATTGTGATCGTCCCTATGTATGCCAAATAGAGTAATTGTTATTTGTATCTACATGGATCCCCTTTGCTATGCTGCTATACATTGAAACTACACGGATTTAGAATCCAGCACTTCTGTAGCTCCACACGACTTGTTCTTGCACAATGTATATATTATGATCATATCATATCGCTGTGTATGCCAGATAGAGTAATTCCTATATGTAACTACATGCATTTTACATCCAAACTTTATTAACTCTAAACAATTATCGATATGATATATGTTTATAAGATGCTAATGTCATATCCATTAACATCTCAATGTCCTATCCTTTGGCTCGCCTTTCGGGAACGCTCGGCAAGCCGCGCCCCCTATTTCTTTTTTATTATGTTCCAACTCTTAGTAATTGCTCTCATGTTCATGCTCTTAGTACTGAGCTTAATGTCAAGTGGTTATCTTTTGTGGTCCCTTGAACTCAATAAACTTGATGTTGACTTGTAATCTCATGATGGTGTTGAACTCGATGAGGACTTGCTTTTATTACAAGTGAATGTTTTCTCTTTGTTTTATTTCGTTGTCTTGTTTGAATACATACACTAAACTAGGATTCCTACTAACTTGAGCATTACCTGATCACCCATATCATTGGGACTGGCACCCTCTCGCCAAGGCGCGATACCGATCTAGTGAGTAGGAAGGGGTGGTAGGCTAGTGCGACAGAATGCTTGAATGGCCTGCCACATTTGGGTTTTCATTGTAGTTTTGCATTTAGTAGCTCCAGTAAGTGTGGTGAACTTGATCTCTTTTGAAACAATTCAATAAAGCTCGAAGTTTTAAGTTATTCCTAGTATCACATCGAGCTAAGATAGATGGTGTTGGTCCTGAACCGTGGCGTGTAACTCTTGTTTATGGTGAGGCACAAATTCCAAAGAGGTGGTATTAAGGGTCTTGCTGCTACAAGAAACTTGCCCCGGATTGCACTCAGTGATTTTAATGAAGTACTGAACCTTAATGAGTGTAACGTGTTTGGCAATCAGAGCATGACTGTATTGAACCGCCTACATGGCATGCCAAATCAGCACCAAATTGGGGGTCAATTCTATCACAAGGGGATAAAATGTGGCACGCAGGTGATAAACGGGGGATATAAATTGAGGATTTTCTCAAAAAACGGGTAAAATCTGTCAAAAGGGTGAATCATGGGGTAAAAATAAATTTACTCATTTCCAAAAGACGAGGAGCCTAAGTTAGGGTGGATTATACCACATATCACTAAAATTGCAATACATGCAAAAATTAAATAGTGTTCCAACTGCTAAGTAAGTTGCTTGTTCATAGCAAAAAAAAAAGATACAACTGAGAGATGGGAGTTTAGGGAAACAAGTCTGGCGTGTTTCCATTCACAGAACTGAACTCAACTACTAGCGTTGGTAAACTCAAAAGCTTGATTATTCCAACATTAACTGTAAGCATGATGGACATGTACTAGCTTAAAATCGTGTCACGGCAATCCTAGTAGGATCAACGATTATGTATGG